CGTCTGTTTATCACTGTTGCATACTTCAATTACATTCCATTAATAAATGAAAATGCAAGGTTCATAAACCATTTTAATCTTCACAGCCAGTTAGTTAACCTCGCTTATGACACATGTAAACATTGGAACAAACACCGTATACAGATTAAGGGAATATATAGCCGTACTTGGAAGACAACTATATATCCTCCAAGGGATACATGTACTACAAAATGTTTGGGCCTACTTTGTCTTCAATCCCCACAGACACTGTGCGTATTGTTAGAGATGTGTTTAATCTTAATTTGTCAAACAAATTGTCATTCAATGGACCGAGGACACCCTATTGAGAAATATATATATATAGCCGTGCGAAGACATAACAATTACAGCTTTGAGCTCTAGGCTTTCAATTTTCTACTATTAGTTTTTGAGAAACGGTTGTAATTAGCTTTATTTTCAAAACTCGAAATATCAAAGATAGGATATTTGTAATTTTTTATATATAAAGTTAACTAAGAGATTTGTAACTCGCACGAGTGAATATAAAGTTTACAAATGCCCTTAATTATACGTAACAGCAGTGACAAAACACTCTGATGTATGGATGTTACAGACCATCTCTTGGTCCCAAGAGCTAAAAAAAAAATATTTCCATGTTATAATCACTAAACACGAATGAACTTCTTGAATCATGAATGATGATCAATCATCACACCGTCACATTAAGCCATTCATTCATGTCCGTGGCAATAACAAGAACAAAATGTACTATATTACGGTGGTCCATATCAGGCATACATTAGCTCAAATGGTCCAAAAACAGCGATGGTACAGACGGATAAAATTACTATGTTTCGGATGGCCGTAAATTGCTTTGCACAAACATATTTAGAGAAAAGCAATTTGACTTTTTATATATATATAGGCCTTTACTAAGATTTGAAGTTCTGCTCACAATCAGTTTAATTTTCATATCACACACACACACACACACACACACATATATATATTGTTACATGACTAGTCATGTAGGCATATATAGTGACAAGAAACTCTTGTGTTTGAGTGTCAGATAGAGATGTGAGTGGGGACAGTGGTGGTGGAGGGTGGCACGGGGTGTGTATGTAGTTGTCAATGGGGACGGTGGTAGAAGGGTGTGAGGTGGTGGGGTTGTTTTTGTATTTCATGGCATGCATATATATATATATATATACACCCTGTTGGTGTTGGGGTCCAACACAGCAATTCTCAACTTATTCCCGTGAACTTGTTGCAGGCACTATAGGCCAGTCACGATGCCTGATGGGACTCACTTATATCACACCAGGTATATATATATATATATATATATATATATATATATATATATATAGTTTTTAAGAATCAAAACGAAAAAAAAAAAAAAAAAATCCCTCTTTTGCTATATATTATTTTAGTTGAAATAAAGTAAATTCCTGACACCGCCGGCGCTGCTTAAGGCTCCAATGAAAGTTCTTAAGAAACTTGTATGATCACTTGATGCTTTACAAATTCGGATTACATGCTTCAAATACGACATTATTACAGAAACTAAATTCCGACTCCGTCCGAGTGTAATCATGTCAAAATGCAAATCAACTGAGAGAGAGGGATACCATTTTGGGCCCAATGAGAGAGAATAAGGGTAACGGGTTATTTGTTTTGAGTGTGGGGTGTATGAGTATGACAAATACATTTTGGTGTAGGCCAGAGAATTCCAAATCCATTAATTCCACATCAGTCCACAGACTATTAATTAACAGTCCTCAGCTGCAAATGCGAGAGTTTTGGACGAGGCCAAGTTTCAAGTTTGTTTGTTGGGATAGTTGGATCTTGCGCTACTCCTTTGGATTCGACTACTCACCTACACTTTATTCTTCTTCATTTCTGTATGTATATATGTAAGTTCTGTACCACTCATTTTCTGAAAATAAAATGCAAAACTAACCAACTATTTAGTTCCCAAAATAAGTCCCAAAATAATTTTTTTATTTAGAGTAGACAAAGGTTTTTTTAAATGTTTTTTTTTTAATTTTTTATGCCAATATTTGGTACAATAGAAAAGGAAAAATATATATATAAATATAACATCAATTACGTGAGAAAATAAAAGAAAGGTATAGAAATGATGTGTTAATCACTTATTATGTTCAGTTGATTAAGGGCAGTTTGATGCATGAAAATGAAAAAAAAAAAAAAAAAAAAAAAATTACTATTTTAAGGAATTTACCATTATATCCTTTTTCATTCCCATCTTCCTCCAACAACTTTCTTTTCTTTTTCCTTTCATTTCTTTCCAGCCAAACTGCCTAAGATACGCATTTTAGATACTTTAAGACTAGTACTCACAGTGCCAGGACAAAGAAACCAACAACTGTGTGACAGAAAATATGGGCCCATTCAACCCAGTGGTGTGACAGAGAATATGGGAATGGGTTATTTCTTTTCAGTCTCAGGGGGGTGCAAATATTTTTGGGCCTTAGAAGTCCAAATCAATTCCACATCAGCCCAGACCTTTCTTGTATTGTTTACAATTACACCATGTCTTTACAAATCATTCATGATTCCTCGTATCATTGATACAAATAGATTGGGTTTTTTGTGCCACTTTTTTAAAGAGCGATGCTATTTCAAATAACACACCCGACAGCATTCAACTCCTCATAGCATCTTCAATGTTAAATATTAGTTTTTCTTGTTAAAGTTATATTTTGAGAGGAAATACAGTGTCAAAATATTATGTTTTAGCAATTCTACTCTAATGGTGCATTTTATTTAAAAGATCTATTAAAAAATTTTAAGAGCGACTATATATGACAATACTTTTGACAATCTCAAAATATGAGAGATTTTTTGAGAGCTCATTAAAGTGTAATATTTTTATTTATTTACTATATTTTGACTTTGAGAGACCCTTGGAGATGCTCTCAAGGAGGCCTTTGTAGATAGTCCATAGAGACCCCGCCATTTCAAAATTATTATTTTTAAATGTTTTTTTATGTCATTTAATCATATACTTTTAGACTAATTAGTCATTCTAAAATGTATAGGTCATGGCATTCCTCATGATTAATTATGTTTTTGATGGTTAGTGATGCCAAAATGATGACAGTAATCATATGAACGAAAATTGAGATTGGTGATAGTTTTTTTTTTCTTTCACGTGTATCGGATCCACAACATACATTATTTAAATTAGAAGTACGATTCAAAATCAGATTTCAAAGACTTACCTCCCGAATTCCTACCAACACATGCTGAAATTGGCAATAAATTAGGTATCAAAATTTGCAAACAAGTCATTTTTTCATACCATTCACAAACAATTTTACAGTCAGAGAGAACTTATGTATAGAGACAATATACACATTTCTAAATGAAAAAGACCGTTGCAATTAGGATCTAAATCTGGTGGTACGTCATTTTTCCCACTCTCTTCACAAACAAACCCATAAGTCAACAGCTTATGGAAAAAAAAAAAGGTATTTAAATATGGTAGAATTGAAATTCCCGCAAAATACACTTTATTGCCGCTTCCAAACAATAACTAAATAAAAAATAATCATTCCAATTTAGTGATTGAACAATGAATTAAAGGTTGAGGAATAAAGTTGGTAAAACATCATTTTCTAAATACTTTACAAAAAACAATGTGCACAAGCCAAGTTAGCACAGAATTGAGAGTTCCAGGAAGCAACTCTATTGCCGTTTCCAAACAACATCTAAAGTCCAAGTGACCATCACAATTTCAAAATTAGTTACATTCTTTCCTTCGGAGATTGGAAACCATATCCTTTTTCTTTTCCATACACACTTTGTTTTCCACCAATGAAAATTCGACCAAAGAATTATTTATGAAGAGGGCGCAAAGTAATTTTGAGGCATTGTTTGTGTACTGTGTGAAAATGTGAATGGGGTTATACTTTTAAAATGAAAAATTAAATGTATATTAAACACTTGCGTTGAAGAAACAACTTTTTTATTTTTTGGCAAGAAACTTACTCATCCATTTGCATTTACAGGAACTTAATATAATGAAACTACGACTTTTGACCTACCATACAATGACACATCGTATAATAATTTACGCATATATAATTTTTTTTTTTTTTTTTTTTTTTTTTTTTTTTTTTTTTTTTTTTGTCGTGAAATTTGGGTTTTTTTTTAATAAGAGATACAATCCACAAAGATGGGTTGGCTGTGCGAATTGACTCTTCTTGTACTCCAAGTAGCATTTATGACCTTACAATCCAAGAATATATAATGCACATTTGGTCAGCAAACCTAGTTCTAAGGTTGCCCACCATGTTTGCTTCTAGTATAAGAGAGTGACACATATAGAGATGCTTACACGGTTCATCACACTCAAAATCATGGGTTCAATTTTAATTTTATGCAATCAAATATATTGTTATTAATATTATTTTTTTTTTAAAAAAATTTAATTACAATTCAAAAACTCAAATTCATGAAAGTGAACATAACACAAGTATAATAGAAGAATTTGAACTCTCAATCTTTAAAAATTCATACGACAATCTTACCCTTAAGCCCTTTCAGTATTAAAAAGAATTAAAATTTAAAAGATTTCTTGATTAGTTTTATGATAATTAAAAATTAAAAAATTATACAAAAATCTATTGAGTCGATAACTTCTTTTTTAAGAATTGAGTGGGAAGGGGAAATTCTACCAATGAAGACAAGACATATGTATAAAGAAGCAGCAAATCATAACGGGCCAACACGTGGTGAGTCAAAAGTCATCACATGTGTAACCATAAACCAAGTCAAATCAAACAACGGCAAATAATAATAATAATAATAAATAAATCCAAGGGAATTATTGGCAACAAGATCAACATCACTTGATTTACTCCCGTAGAAAACCAACTGATTGCAACCTACTCAGAGAAGAAAGGGAGAATAAACAGGGAATCGTTATAATTTTCCAATATAAATATCAAGACGACTCTGAAAAAAGGATATACAAAATACAAAACAAAAATAAGAGTGAAAAATATATACATCAATTTATGTTTTCAAGAGTTCATATATAATTGTATGTTAGGCTTTTTCATAGTTTGCAAATTTTTTCACCTAAAACTATTTTATGGAAACCAAATCAATTAATTATTGTAATTATTATTATTTTAACAGCACCAAGCCCTTAGATCTTTTAACCAAGCCTCACCGTCCATATATATACTAATATTAAAATTGTGTTATTTAAATTAGGGGGTACGTATAACTTTACATATATAATCATAAAGTCTCAAGACTCTCCTTTATGAATGGGGTTAAATATACACATGTATTATCACTATTAAATCTTGATCATATATATGTATGAGCCAGAATCTTTCCCTCTATAAATTCAACATTTCTCAAGCACAATATATACAGAGAAAGCATGCAGCCCACATCTCCAACTTCCCATGGCATGTCCAAACTCACAGATTGTTTCAAGAAGAAGAACAAAAAAAGTATGCATCATCACAGCATACCAAAAAAATGGAGACTCCTCGGCGGCGAGAACAACTGGAAGAACATGTTGGATCCTCTAGACATTGATCTCCGTCGATACATCATTCACTACGGAGAAATGACACAAGCAACTTATGACAACTTCAACTCCCAGAAGGCCTCCAAGTATGCAGGAAGTAGCCGGTACGCGACGACTGATCTCTTCTCGAAGGTGGGCATTGAAGAAGGCAATCCATTCAAGTACCGTGTCACCAAATATGTGTACGCCACATCATCCATTCAAGTCCCGGAAGCTTTCATCATAAAGTCCCTGTCGAGGGAGGCGTGGAGCAAGGAATCAAATTGGATAGGGTACGTCGCGGTGGCCACCGATGAAGGGAAGGCTGCATTAGGGAGGAGAGACATTGTGGTTGCTTGGAGAGGAACAATTCGGGCGTTGGAATGGGTTGATGATTTGGAGTTTCTGCTAGTCTCGGCTTCAAAGTTGGTTGGAGTGGATGGTGAACCGAAGGTGCACCAAGGCTGGTACTCCATCTACACTTCAGATGATCCAAAATCACCCTTCAATAAGACTAGTGCCAGAGACCAGGTAAACCTTGATATACCATATATTATGTAGGACAGTTTCATGATTTTTTTTTTTTTTTTTTTTTTTTTTTTCTCGTAATTAATTGCTTTTAATGATTAGATTTAATATATATCACTATATTTTTTCAAAGTCTTTCTTTATACCAAAGTTGCTTTCCTTGTTACTAATTAGTTAATTTTTTGGAGGGTATTTTGATAATTTTCGTATTTGTTATATTAGATAATTTTTGCACTTGGACATAACTCTTGTTTTCGGTAAACCAAGTAAAAATTTGTGTATTCTTATTGTGTATGTTTGACATATTTTCTGCTTAATTTCGTAGTATGTGTTTCGTCATAAACGTGTACACTCCAACAATATTGTCCTTAGTAGGGCTCAATTACTCAACCTCACCTGTGCGGAGGAGAAATCATACCATCTGACAAGTCATGATTTTCATATACTATATATGTTATTTCAGGTTCTTGGTGAGGTAAGGAGACTAGTGGAACAACACAAGAATGAAGAAATCAGCATAACTATAACTGGTCATAGCTTAGGTGCTGCAATTGCAACAATAAACGCAGCTGACATAGTTGCAAACAGATTGAACATGTCAAAAGATCATCCAAACAAGGCCTGTCCTGTCACAGCTTTTGTATTCGCAAGTCCTCGCGTTGGAGACTCAAACTTTAAGAAGGTTTTCTCTAGACTGGCAAATCTTCATGTCCTGCGCATCAATAATGCCTTAGATGTTGTTCCAAATTATCCACCATTAGGCTATGCTGAGGTGGGACAAGAGCTAAATATTGATACCACCAAGTCTATGTATTTGAAGAGTCCTGGAAATTTGAACAGTTGGCATAACTTGGAGGGTTACATGCATGGGATTGCAGGAACACAAGGGTCCAAGGGAGGATTCAAATTGGAAGTTAATCGCGATATCACGCTTGTTAACAAAGGACTTGATGCTTTGAAGGATGAATATTGTGTGCCCGTATCGTGGTGGTGTGAGAAGAACAAGGGCATGGTTCAACAGGCTGATGGAACTTGGAAGCTGATGGATCATGAGGTAGAAGATGCTGACTCTTTGCTCTTTAAAGTTTGTTGCGGTTGAGTTTATTAATTAGAAGGTTAATCTCTCTGTAGCCTGATTATGGTTGTTCTTGTACACTAACGATCACCGAACATTGCTTTATTAATCCCATGGTGCTTGCAACATCTCAATATGTAACTTTGGGATATATAAATGCATGTAGTTTCTATTTTTTATTTTATTTATTTATTTATTGGGGGGGTAGGTGTAGAAATAATGATTCATGAAATAAACTGCTAGTTGGGTAGCTGTAGTAGTTATGCTGTTGAATTTGTGTGTGTGTGTGTGTGTGTTTGTTGATGAGGTTAATTATTTGAGGTACAGGAAAAAAAAATGTGGTTGTTTGGATAAATGAATGGGAGAGTAATATTTTTAATTTTAACAAGGGAGGATGTCTAAGGCATACCATACCTTTCATCATTTAATTGAAAGTATAGGTGAAAAAATTCACTCATGGGTCATTTATTAAACATGTGTTCTTTTATTAGTGACTTGATTCTCGTTCTGAGATACTTTTAGTCATTAAAGCACATTTCTCAATTACCATAAAGAAGCACAATTCAGATTGTTTTTCAACATCTTTGAATTGCAAATGTCTCCATATAACATCTAAAAGTCAAACAGACATCTCACGCAATGAGATCATTATGAAGAAAATGGGAAAAAAAATCAAATTTCATACCATCCTTTGAACAATTCAACACTCAGCAAAGTAACCACCACTAATTAAACAAGCTCTTATTCAAGAAGATGATGCGATCAATTTCATGGCAATGTACCGATAAGCCATTACAAAGTAACCACCACCACTAAACAAGCTCTTATTCAAGGGTAGAGGTTGTGAGAGGTGGAGAAGTAAAAGGGCCATTGATCAAACTCATGGCAATGTACCGATAAGCCGCCTCGGTTAAGTGTATCCCATCCCAGTTTGCATAAGCTGAAGGATCCATGCATGCTTTGGACCCAGTGTGACCACATCTAGCAGAATTGTTAAAGTTGTATGGTCCACCCCCTCCACAACAGGCATTCAAAACCCCATTGTAAAATCCTGCATAAATCAATAGTTATTGTAGGTAGGCCCTGTGGGTATCTTTTACCCAAAAGACATTATAATCTTAGTTCTATTTATCAGTTTTGACAGTGGATTTCCAAGTGATTTGCTACACTTGTTTGTGTTTATACCTTTTGTACCAAAAAGACCCTATGCTTTTGCTTGTTAAACACTGGTTCAACTTCGATTACTTGAGGGGAAATTATGTGACTAGACCAGAGGCTTTATCAAAAATGTTTGGTCATATTAATCTAATCATACATAAAACTAACACAAGTGTTTCACATCCATGGTTAAATTAGCTAAGGCACCTCTTAGCAGTTAAACCAGTTTAAAAAATGTCACGGCTTTTTTATATATCGTTTTGTTCATGAAATGTTTGTTGTCATTTCAGACATTAAAAAGGCGACAGGAGAACGTGTTACATAAATTAGAACCTCTAAGTAGGTAAATAAAATTATGAAACATAGAGGGAGTCTATATGGGATATTGACAAGTGGAATTTACTTAAGATACAATGTAAGAATAGGTTCCTAGATTCATGGAGGCCTGTTCAGCTTGGTGGTTGGGACTTGGGACCAGCTTGAACAAGGGATTGGCCTCAAGCTCAACACTACTACCAAATTATATCTGCTTTGTCTCATTTGCGGAGTGACCGTTAACTCAATATTTGTGGACAAAACAAAATCACTAAAAAAATGGATGGTTTCGTGTACTTAATTGTATAAGATTTGAATGTTTTACTGTCTTATATTGTGCTCTATGTGTAAATTAATAAGTTAGCAAGTAAACTCACCATGATGGTGTGGTGTGTGAACTAATGGCTTAGCAGCCCCATAATAGTCAGCATAAATGATCCTTGTATGTGGGAACTTCTGTCTCAATTTCTCCAGTGCAAGTTTGAGCTGAGCATTGTGGTATTTAGAGAAAGCATTGTATGCTTTCAAACACCCATTCTTATCATAGTCTCCTTTGTTAACACTATGAAACAAGGTCAAGTACACCGGCGAGCACCCAATCGGAAAATTTCCCGGCACCACCAAATCCACTGCACCTTCCTCTATCAACATCTACAAGGAAAAAATAAAAAATAAAAATCCACACTGTTAAATTGCGTCTATACGGTTAACGTTTCAAATGAAAACGAAGAAAAGGTCATAGTATTAATAGTTACTGTTGATGCTTCTTAACTGTTGGATACGATGAGTTTGAAGTGAGGTCTACTATGGACCACACATCCAATAAGCGTTATTGTGGCGCTAGCATAACTCGTGAAAAATAGTACTTTCAAAATGATAATTAAAAGTCAGAAAATTTAATATGGTAAAACTTACAGCGGTGGCTGCAGAAATTGATTCAACCACCAGAGGCACGACAGCTTTCAGCTGTTTAATGCTACCACCAAGAAAGTACGCGTAATTATAGTCATTTCCACCGATCTCTCCCACAAGAAAGAGAGATCTCTTGAAGTAGTTGTCACATTCTGTGATCCAAAAAAGAAGAGTCCTCCAAGTCAGTGTAAAGCAAGCAAATAATTCTAATATGTGACAAATTGTAGCTTATTTCTTGGTAATCAACCTTGTTTAGTGGTGCAAAGTGTGGATTTTAGCTTCTTGAACCATCCGAGCTGAACGCTTAACGAATCATTAGTCCATAGGATTGATATTTTTTGGTCATAGTAAAACTTTGCATCAAGTGCAGTAGCTCCAGCAACTGCAAAGTTTGCTCCATGTTTGAATTTTTGGCCTTTGGCTAGTGCTAGATAGGGTGGTACATATGGTAGCCCAAAAGCCTCGGCTACATTTTAATAATCATCACAGCACAATCTTAGTAGTTTCATAGTCGTAAATATAGTCTTTTAAATTTGGAAAAACAAAATACTCTTCTCGAGAATCTCTCGATCTGCTGGACTCTGCAGGCCACAATCCTGCGGTTCAGATTCAACCGCGTCATCCCTACCACTTTCTCCATGTTAAAATTTCTTTTAGAATTGAACATGCAAATAGTAGAGTTGACTAAGAGGATGACGTGGCTGATTGAGCCCTGCAAATTAAGAGATTCTCAAGAAGAGGATCCAATGAAGAGAAGAGAAAGAGGAGGTACCAATGAAGTCAATCACTAAGCGTCCATCGGAGCATCGGCCCGTTGGGTGTCCAAAGAATGTGCTGCCGTAAGGGAGCTGTGCAATGACTGGAAATGTGAGGGCACCGGAGAGAAGGAAGTTTCCTGTATCAGCAAGAGAGTCACCAAAGCTGAAGATTGAGTCATATTTAAGAGGACTCATTGAAACTGTCCTAAATGAACATATCAAAGCAATAAGTAGGAGAATTTTCATGGTGAATGGTAAGGATAGAGATAATGAGAGGGAGAGAAAGGTGACTGCAGAGTTCAGAGTTTTGGTGTTTTTAGTTATAGGAGCTGCTAGATTTTTGGCCTTGAGAGGTTAAGCATTAAATACACACACACCTCCCCAACAGTTTTTGCAGCTCTTTTCAGTGAGTTGATTAAATGTTTTCGGCATTATTTTATTGACAATGGTTTACTGGCCGAAGATTTCAGTCAAAGACTTTTGCCGAACATACTGTATCTTTTTAATGCATTGGGGTGGGATCAATGTAATATGCTCTCGGATGACTGAGTAATTTTTAATTTTTTAATTTTATGTGTTGAGTTAGTTACTATTTTTGTTTTTTTTTAATTATTCACCTCGTATATTGTGACTGACAATGAGTAGTTCTCTTTCGTAATCCCATCACAATGCCTTCCATGGATGCAATATGTTAGGCTGGGCTGAAATCTTTTGCCAAAGTATCATTTTTTATATTTTATGTGTCTGTTGAGTTAATTAGCTCTCTCCCTCTCTTTTTGTTCGGAAATCTAGCAATAGCACGTTCCTCTACTTTTGAATTTGATTTTAGATGTGTAGTGAATTTAGTTTAGTTTTGACATCCAAATCAAACTCACAACAACAGCAAGTATTCCTAGAGTAAAAATGAATAACAAAATAAAAAAGAAAGCTTGTGCCATTAATGGAATTAATTGAAAAGATGAGAACCGTCCCAAATTGCCGCATTACCAGGGATGGCCATTTAAAGTTCAAGCCTGTTTTAGGTCCTGCCAATAAAATGTTAAGATTTTTTTTGCCAAAAAAACCTATATGCATGCAGGATATATAGTTTGTCTTTAATGTTCAGTAATATTGAAATACAAAGCTAAGAGCATATATCTCCGACTATTGTGTATATGTTTTTTTTTTATTATTATTATTATTTTTTTTTTTGTATAAACCTGATGTATAAATTTGATGTGTCATGATTGATTTATACAAAAAAAAAAAAAAAAAAAATTGGATTATATATTTTTAGTTCAATGGTTGTTTTATATCTCCCAATAACAATCAACAACATATCCGAACCCACATAACTTTTACAAACCTACTTTAATGGAATGAGAAAGAGAGAGGAGAAAAGAAATATATTAATGTGACTATGTAAAAACTCAGTAGATAAAGAAAGAAAAATTGACTTATTCTAGGGAAACAAGAAGGAATAGTAATGATGCTTATTTAAGTTAAAATTTATAATAACACATTATATTTTTACCTAGTTCGGTTTTAAGTCACAATATTAAAGTAGTCAAAAATATTATTATCCTAATTATTATTATTATTATTATTATTATTATTATTTATTTTTTTGGCATCTACCGGCACTGAAGGTAATTTGTCAATTTGGTGATGATAATATTTGCATTCTCAATCCCACAAAGATATTCCAAAACAGAGTTCCCTTATTGATGATGTTAGTTGTTGGGCAAGTATACCAAGATATTAATAACCTCCTGATTAGTTCTTTCATAATATAATTAAAAGTTCAAACAACTAGAGCATTATGATATCTCCCTGTGATTTAACAATCCTCATTAATAAATCTACCTAAATTTATGTTCAGATTTCTGAATATGCTCTCTCTTCATGCTAATTAAGAAAGTGAATTAATTGTAATAATCATCCTATTTTATAAATAAATAATTCCTCAACCACAGTAGTTGAGCACTAAGGTAGTAAGTGTTGTAGGGAAGAAAATATATAAAAATAAATAAACTTGCTGTAGAAAAAGAAACTGGTCTAAATTAGTGTGGGTAATGTGGACCAAATAAAGTGAGAATTATTTCAATTTTTAAGTCCACTCAATTGGGATGATATATGAATTGATTGTAACGTCTAAACAAATCGTGTATATATATATTTGTTCAATTTTGTAGTACTTCTTAAAACGTACAGCTTTGTTCTGAGTCAATATAACTTCGTAAAATCAAGCATGGGAGAAGTCATCTCATGGTTTCGTGACAATTGATCCCAATCAAACCCCGAGATGAATCATCATTAGACAAATAAATAATTATGACCGAAATGTGACCCCCCATTAAATAAAAAGTCCGGTATCATCTGGATTGAACTTTATCAACGGTATGGTCATAAGGACACCCCATTAACTAGATGTTGGATGAATATGAGACTGAAATTTGGAGGTCAGTCTACGCAGTAAAATTAGGTGCATTAAGAGTGTCACGAGCTTACATTTCTTGCCACATTTTCTGACCAGAAACATCACAGAGATTTCAACACAACTCCATTAGAGCAACCCAGCGCATCACCAAAGTGTACAACATGTGAGCCTTTGTGAAATGAGTGGCTCTACTATGCGAATTACACACTAGCGAGGCCCATTTCATATTACACATTCCACTCTTCACATATAAGGAATGAAGTAGCGCCCAGAAAGTGAGCAGAAACGGCAACGCAGTGGGCCATTGTGTGTGAAAGAGTGATATAAAATATAAAAAAATGATATTATGTGATGATGTGTAAAAGAATTATTGTATGTGTGTTGGGTTAATTAATTAATGTAAAGATAGTTAAATTTTTATTAATTAAAAAAATTTATTTTTCCTAAATAAATAAAAAGAGTCATTTAATTTGCATAATAATTTAATTAATTATATTTTTTTTAAAAAAATTTGTACACTTTGACTAATCAATTTTATTTATTTATTTATCATAATAATTTAATTAATTTACATAATAATATAAAAAATAAAATTTTATTCGATTAATAAATTTAAACATCTTCATCACGTACTGATTTAATTAATTCACATAATAATATATAAATTATATTTTATTCGATTATACCAAATTTAAACATTTTCATTGCCAAATTGATTCCACAAATAGTCCATCAAATGTCTCATGAGATCAGTATTATCCGCTCTTACGAATTCTTCTAAAACGACCGGAAATGTGTGCCGCCAACATTGTTGGGTTTCGAATATATTGTGGGAGGGATATTGGCTCATCCTGCGGAGGTGCCCATTGCAAAATGTGTTCACGCTTATCTTCAATGATCATATTATGCAATATGATGCACGTTCTCATTATCTTGTTTAAATCTTCTTTATCCCAATAATACATAGGTCCTTGCATTATAGCCCACATGATCTACAATACGCCAAACGATCGTTCAACGTCTTTCCTAATAGCTTCTTGTTTTTTAGCAAACAATTTCTTTTTGACAGTTGTTGGGTGTGGGATGGTCTAAATCAAAGTTGCCTATTTGGGATAAATACCATCAGATAGGTAATATCCCATTGTACGTCAATACCTATTTACCTTGTAATTAATTGGAGGTATTGTGCCATTGATCAGACTATTGAATACTAGGGAATGATCCAAGACATTCACATCATTATTTGAACCAGCCATACCAAAGAAAGCATGCCAGATCCATAGATCTTTCGATGCAACCGCCTCCAATATGAGTGTAGGCTTATGATTTCTTCCCCTATATGTGCTATGCCACCCTGTAAGGTAGTTTTTCCATACCCAATGCATACAATCTATAGAGTCAAGCATACCTGGGAAGCCTCTTTCTTCCCCTTCTCGAAGCAGACGTGCAATGTCCTCTTCGTTCGGTGTGCGTTGGTATTGCGCAATTACAACATCACAAAAGCGCTTCAAGCTTTCAACCGCAGTGGTTTCAGAAATCTTTATGTACTCATCACAAAGATCTGCTGAAATTCCATATGTATACGTATTGCAGCTGCCATCTTCTGTATAGGAGTGAAACCCATACGACCGAGAGCATCAGGCTTCTGGATGAACCATTCGTCATATGCTGTAACACCGTTTAAAATGCGAATAAACAACTCTCGGTGCATCCGAAATAGTTTACTAAACATCTCGAGTGGAAAAGTGGGATTTTCAGCAAAATAATTTTGGAATAGCCGCTGGGCTGCTTCCTCTCGATCACGTTTAATATATCTTCTCTTATGACGTCGAAAGAATGTCTTTACCTTCTCAGGCGATAATAGTTGCATCACTGCATTCATCCTTTTTGACGTTCTTCACAAAAATCTTCCCCATCAAAAAATGAAAAAGAACTCAATGGAGAAATTGACCCGAACACTAGAATAGATTGTGATAATGAAACCATTTTTTTTTTTCTATAACAAAGATAAAGACTCAAAGAAGATAAAATGAATTTGAAGATGTAAAGAAGTGGACTTGGTAATTGAAAAAATGAGAGAATGAGTGGTTTATATAGCGAATATAGTTGTTGAAGAAAAGACGAACAGAATATATCCGTTAGCAAAAAGACGAACATAATATAGCTGTTAAAATAAGACAAACATAATATAACCGTTGGGAGTATAGCTGTTAGGAAAAAGACAAAATGAAATTATGGCGCGTTATGTAAAAAGGGGCAATAAATTGTAATGTTTACTATTTTTTTTTTTTTTTTTCCTGAGTTGTATTGTTTTATTTTATTTGTAGGAAGTTATGTAATGCACTTTATATATATATATATTTCAAATCTTGTATCTAAATCTGAATAAACAATTATAGTCGCTAGTATTATAGTTGTTGAGAATAAAACTGTTAGAAAAAAAAAATAAAAAAAATAATTATTTTATTATTTAAAAAATAATAATATAATAAAGTGTATAATGAAAAAATGAGTACATACCAAGAATTTGAAACTTTTAAAATAAGTGTACAATTAATTACTGAAGTCGTTATACACTTTACATAAAATTAATAATGTGGCTACACACTTTATATATAGTGTGGAATGGAAACAACCCCTGTGCTGAGGTTGCTCTTATTGTGTAGGTTTGGGTAGATGAACCTTCACCAAATAGACAAGACATCTCCAAAGAATGGATTTGATATGGATGGGACGTCTTTTCCAGACAGTTTACTAGCGACCATATTCCTTCCTCGTAGGCTTGCTTGGATTTTCGAAAAATAAAATAAAATAAAAATTTCACTTGTAAGATAGGAGACCATCGATTAAGCCCATTATGATTTTCGCATTTGAAATCAATTATTGCTTTACGGCCTGTAAGCTTGATAATGAGTTTAAATCTTAACACCAAGGATAATAATTCTTGACCTAAAATTCTAACCGAAGTCTTTGCCTTAAGAGGTTCCTATTTTTTTTGAGTAAAGTGGATAATATCAAAGTTCTGGATCAAAGGATTAAGAATCTTTCAACCTGAAACTTTGATAAGAATTTTAAACCCGGTAATCATTATCTTTGGAGTCATACTCTTTTTAAATAAAATGCGAACTAAAACTCCCCACCAAAATGTTTGATAGAAGACAACCTTGGCTTGCATATAAAGATGGCCTTCCCGGCCAATGAAGCTGCAAATGACACTACACGCAAGTAATATCATGGTGTTGAACCCAAAGGCAAGGTTCATTTTACTGTAAGAAAGATCGGCACTTCGGCTTTGTTTATTTTGAACTAAAATATATTTTTTGATTTTTTTTTTCAGATAAAATAAATAAATATAAATATATATATATATATATATATATATATATATATATATATATTGAGATTGAGAGACTCCATCAAAAATAAATTATTTTTGTTAAATTTTAATATTTTTTTCTTCATAAATATTTTAGGACACTAAACAAATAAAAAAAACAATTTTTTTTGCATGGAAACGAACAAGTCTTATCTTCTCAATCCACTCTTTCTTTGAGCCAAGTACAAGTACAATTCAAATATTTACATTTTTCAAGACTTAATTGGATTCACTGAATTTAGTTTTACGAATAAAGTGTTCAAAGGCATACAAAATTATTCTATTTGTATAATAATATGAAGTCATCTAGAAAAAAAAATTATAGCCAAAGTACTTGCATGCATCATTTCATTAAAAAAAAATAAAATAAAATAAAAGAGAAAAAGTTATGACCTACAAATTAAGATAAAATACAATAAACTTCTCTAAATTATAAGGTAATTGCATAAAACCTTCCTGAATTAACAAATACCTGAACTATTTAAAAGTTGTAGTTAAGGACATCACGTCAATTTCCGGCGCCGAAAAACCAAGATTACAAAATTACCCTCTAATAAATGGCACCGTTTTGGTGCTATAATTAACTTATTCAGCTGACATGTCAAATAAAATCTAAAGACCAATAAAAATTTGTCAACGCATCACCTTATCACTACCCCACCTCATTTTAGTGGCTCACCTTTCCCACCTCGTTTGGTACCAAATACGACCGGCGTGAGTGAATCCATTAACACCGGTGACCAAAAAAGGAAAAGTCCATCAACACCCACCGCCATTTATGCGAAGTAAATTGTGTGTGTGTGAGAGAAGAAATACAGAAGAGAAGGAGGAGGAGATGACCAGCTGCAATGACTAACAATCACATAGCAACAATAGGCGATGAGGACACCGAACACCTCTAGCATCAGCGTGAAGCGGCGATGAGGACCACAACCACCTCTTTATCCATACCTCACCAGTTACCGCACTGTCGATAACATCCTCAACGATTCCGATTCATCTTCCTCAACTCATTATTCACCGTCTCGCTCTACCTTCAACGCCAAACTTCCCATTAGATTGCTCCATCTCTCACATCAAACTGCTGGAATTCTATAGGCTTCCTGATTCACTGATACCTTAACGTCCTCACAGAAAAATATTATGACAGAGCTTACCTCGGCAATCTTATCTACTAAACCAGTACACAGAGATCAAGAAAACCTTCGTTTCTCTCACTGTAAATCAAAGAAATTTCATGGGTTTGTGGATTACATACAATGCTTCAATTTGTGAATTTGCAGTGCCTACAGTAAACATCCACACAGAGAGCGAGAAAGGGCGATTTGCAAGCTTAGGGTTCGAATTTGTATATAGCACAGGAATCACTCCTCAAATTTGTATAACGCACATCATATACATAGATTGCCTAACCACCACTCATTTTCACCGCCAAGTAAAATCGGAAACAAACCCAAGAACAGAGCTACCATCATGAACACTGTGAAGAAATTAACTATAAAAGCCTGGCGCGTGACCGCATGTTAGGGAGAGTTAGGTATTGATCGGTCGCCTTTTTCTCACCGTTTCCGGCTAAACCCAGAAGCAAACGACTAGTGAAGAAAGGTAGTCGTCGGCGCGGCGAGAGTCTTCAGACCCGCAGCGCGGCAGGAAAGAGCGTTTAACGCGCAGAAGTGTGCGATGTATTGAAGCTCACTGTGGTGAAAGAGAACACAAATACATGGTGAACTCTCCGACGCGTGTTAACATGGCTGGTGAAGACTGTTCAGCGGTGAGATTGTGTGCGAATCCGGCGAAAAGATCGGGTGAAGGTGATGATCTTGGTGGCGAGATGAGGTCGGCGTTGTCCTTGGTGGCAGCGGAAAAATTGGATGTAGCCTGGACCACCGAGGCCGGAATTGCTGCATAATTTTCTGGCGATGGTTGAAGAGATCAGCTTTGTTTGGGTCGGCTACAACTGTGAGTGTGTTCGGTGATTGCGCCATTGTTGTCGCCGGAGTTGTTGGTGTAGTGAAGTGTTGGTAATAAATTATAATGGTCATAAGGGCAACTTCGTCATTTAAATTTTTTTGGAATGGCACGTGATCAACAGTGGCATATTTAACGGTAAGATATGGCCGGAAGTCCACCGGTGGGTAAATTTTGCAAAAAATTTAATAATTCGGGGTTATTTGTAAAAAAAATAATTGGGATTTTGAGAGAGAGAGAGAGTGTAAAGTTTAGGGTGGCTTATTGCACTTTACCCTACAAGTTATTAACATAGCTCATTTCAGTTGCCATGGAAGATATCATGGACGTGCTCTTAGACTACTACATAAAACACCATGGAATATGGATAAATAAGGTGATAGTTGTTTTGTCGGTCACATACACCATAAGGGGAAGATAAAGATATCCGTTAAACTAATGGAACGAAAGTGGAAATGCTCGAATAAAATGGTATAGCTAGTCATAGTTTGAAGATTCAGCAGTCACAGCAACGGAAACGCATGACGTGTTCAATGGAGGAATGGTGTACGGTCCGAATAATAGACCTTCGGCAATCCATTTAGCTGCTGCTTCTGTGTAGAGCAAACCGTCCCAGTCAACATACAGAGAAGGGTTGTCGCAACTAGTTGCTGCTGGAGAGCCACATAACACAGATGAGTTGTAATTGTATGGGCCTCCACCTCCACAGCATGCAGTCAGTGCTCCTGTAAATCCTGCATTAATGGGACATAAACAATAGTTTCATACCTCATGCCGAATATAAGTTTATGAGCACGAAACATCCACAAAATAAGTAAGGATCCTCTTTGAGGGTCATCTGCTCTATCAAAGGCCTGTGGGACCTACTTATCAAAGGTAACGATGCAATCTCCACCTTTGAGGCAGTACACCATCTCTCCAGAGCCGGAGAAAAGTCACAAAATATTGACGTGTATAAAAAAAGGTTAAAAGGGTGGAAGTACCAAATTTGGTGGGAGAGAGAAACAAGGGCATTGCAGCATTTTAATAATCTGCATAGCTAATGGTGGTATGGGGATGAAGTTCTTGAATCCGGTTTAGTTCTATCCGAAGTAATTCATTGTGGTACTCAGAAAGCTTGTTCAACCAAGTGAGGCAGCCAGTTTTGGGGTCATAATCTTCCGCCGCAGAATTGGTGTAATAGGCTAGATTGTTCGCCGTGCATCCAAGTGGTACGATCCCAGGGACCATGAGCGTCACCACTCCAAGCTCGATTAACTCCTGAATGTATAAATCATTTTCAAAAGAAGTGTGCACGCATGTGTGTGTGTGTGAGAGAGAGAGAGAGAGAGAGAGAGGAAAAAAATGCATTTTACAATGCAACCAGGTACCCTGAAGGCAGAAACACTGAACATGAATTGTCCACTCATGAAAGTGATTCAGGAGTACTGTACTAGTGGGACACATTTTATAGAGTTTTATAATAGCACCTCTAGCTATCTTTTTCCTTGGCCTGTCTCTTCACTGCTGTCAGTAAGAACATGTTGCTACTGCCTCAAAAAGTCAAAAGTAAAATCAAAACCATAGCCACATTATTATTATTATTTTTAATTATTATTTTTTTTTGAAACAAATTACACACCTATAGATTGACATGCCTTTTATATTCTTATCTAAATTTAAAATAATTTAACAAAAAAAAAAAAAAAAAAAAAAAATTTGTCAAACTGAAAAAACTATATTACCCTTTTATTTTTTCCCCATCTTATAAACATTATATTACCTGTATATATAGAAACCTAACCAAATATCATTAACAAAAAAAAAAAAAAAAAAAAAAAAATTGATACGTTGCACTTTAATGGTATTACTTTTGTCATTTCATGTCAAATTATAAGGTTACTGTCATCTTTTAACACAAAAGAAAGACAATTTAATCATTTTTTAAATTTTAATCAATGATAAAAGTATGGTTAAGTACACACGTCAAATCTTAACAAAGATTAAAGTAATAAAGGTCAAATGCTCTATATGTGTATAGTTAAGGGGAGGGAGCAAGGGTTGAAGCCTAGTTAACTCCCTACCATCACACCAGAGTACGCCACTACCGCCACCAGCTCACCTTACTTTTTTCCTCTTTTACATGAGCCTTTTAACACTTTATTTTTATTTTTATTTTAATATTTATTGTAAAGGGCAATTTATATAACAAGAAGCTAAAAACAGAGCACAGCAACATCATTGATATTAGCCTCTTACATTGATAGCTGAGGCAATAGTATTAACAACTATTGGTACAAATGATTCAACCTCTTCTAAGCTTATTCCTCCCGTCAATGTATTGTCATAATCATTGCCGCCAATCGTTCCCATTAGAACAAGAGAACCCTCAAAAAGTTTATTGCAATCTGCATATATATACACATATATATATATATAGAGAGAGAGAGAATCAGCACACTAATTGTTAAATATAACAAATAATTATTGTTGTATTAAGCTATTTGGATTTTTCTGTCTTTGGCATGGCCCTCTCTAGATACACACTGGCTCCATCCCTAAGTGTATAAATATACACACTATGCATTTAGGTATCATATTTGTGCACGCACAACATTTTTACAACTAGCAACTAATAAGACAATTAATATTTTGATAATATGTTAAATTAAAAATGCCATTAAGAGTCTCACTAAGATCGATGATAAATATTTACAAGCCTTTTTGATAACCGTTGTTGAAACATGTAATATTAGTTCCACGTGGGTACTAGTTTTGTAAAAAAGAGGGGTAGTTAAGAAATTTAAGTTCAACAATAAGAGGAATATTTAAGAAAATGAACAATTCATATCTACATCACACATTGATCAAAATTCACGACTCTAAAAATTGTTGACTTTGACTCCATTTATAGTTAAATACTCTCAAAAGTCCACTTTTTTGTAATTTTGTTAGAGAAATATTAGTTGAATGATAGACATATCATCTCCTTAATATATTCATCTAATCAATATACTACATTCATAAAAAGTAGTCCTACTTACATTTAAAAAAAAAAAAAAAAAACCAGTAAACCAAATTAAAATGGTGAATATTGATTGATTTGGTATGCCTAAGATATGTATGCCGGACTCACCGGTTGTGTGTGTGTGTGTATATATACACACACACACACATGGATATATATATTTGGAGTCCTGATATCTTGTTCTCGGTCGATCAAGAAAATTAATTCACAAACTTAACACAAAACTACTTTCATTCTATTTTTAGTTTTTATATTTCATTTTACCATTACCACTTACTGCAGTAATAAAAGATAATTACTAAAATAAAAATAGAAAAATCTTTGCTACTACATTCTCCAATTTTTATATCTTTGAACACAAGTGCTAAAAAATTTAACAAGAGAATTTGTGCCAAACGCAATTCCTCAAAATCTAGTTGAGCTGGTTTGAGTCTTAAAATTGAAATAGAAAGAAATTTTGTTCAAAATTTAATTGAAATTTTTTTCAATTTCAATTCCAATGTATCAATTCGATATTCCAAAATGCAACATTATAGTATATTTGTTTGTAATTTTACTTATACGCGATAAGTATATTTATTTGAAAGATACTAGAAATAAACGGGTTTTATTTTTTTTCCAAAGAAATATTTAAAGAAAAACAAAATTTTGGTAATATATACTTATATTATTTTTCTTTTAAAGATTTTTATTTTTATTTTGATATAGTAAGTTGTAATGATAAAATTAAATATAAAAATTAAAAATAAGGTGAGAGTAATTTTATGTTAAAAGGAATTGATATTGGTGGATTTGAAAAAGTGCCTTTAGATTTAAAGATTCATGTAGAAAGTGTGGATAAGAAAGTCCATGGATAAGAAAGTCTAAACTCCCAATGACCCTGGAGTTCAACTGGTCAAAGTACTGTGGAGATCTACATACCTGAAGATGCGTTGGTGCAGAGAGATGGCAACATTTCTTTGAACCAACCCAACTGAACTCCCAACGAAAAGTTCTCGTATTGAGTTTCAATTCCCATTTCTACCTAGAAAGCAGCATCCATCGTGGAAGCACCCACTACCGCAAAATTCACACCCTCTTCAAAATTCACTGACGAATTATTCTCTCCAGTACCCAAACAAGGTGGTGCGAGTACAAGTCCAAGATTCTGAGCTGCAATGCAAACCCCATTCACTCATCTATCAAATGATATATATATATATATATATATATAGTACATGTGTGTCTAATATAAACTTCATTTACAAGAAGGTAATCTTTAGATATGATTTAAGTATACTTGATGTGGAGAAATCTCTTCTTCATTGAGCAAGAGATCATAACCTTTAGATATGATTTAAGTATACTTGATGTGGAGAAATCTCTTCTTCATTGAGCAAGAGATCAGATATATATATATATATACACACACACAAATTTTGTAAGTCTGCAAATAGACACAAAATATGGAGCAAATAGTAATTTATTAATTTGAAAAATTTGAGTACAATCATTTGTAATAATATTATTTACAAAAAAATAGTCCTCTCATTCGATCTCCTTTTTGTTGTTGATTGGATCCAAGGGCTGCACGAGTTTGTTTTTGAATCACCGTGGAATTTGATGAAGAATGGCACGTCGTTGGATGTGTTTGTTGTTGATCACCGTGGAATTTGATGAAGAACGGCATAACTTTGGATGTGTTTGATGTTCTTCGTTTTTGGGTTTGGATTCTGAATTTATGTCTCTGACTTCTGAGTCTCTGGATCTTTGGACTTCTGAATTTTGAATTTGTGTCTGAATTTCTGAACTTCTGAATTATGAATTTGTATCCTTTGTTGAATTTGATAAAGAACAGCACGTCTTTGGATGTGCTTGTTGTTCTTTGTCTTCAGAGAGGAGAGAATTTGTTGAATTTGGTGAAGAACGGCATGACTGTGGATGTGCTTGGTGTTCTTCGCCTTCAGGTTTGCCCTCGGGATTTTTGGCCCTTTGGATTTCTAGGCCTTTTGGATTTCTGAGTCTTTGGATTTCTGAACTCTGAATTTGTCCCCCTCTTTCTTCCTCCAGGCCTATATTTATAGGCTTCTTGGGTTGATAGGATGATGACACGTGTCATCTCCTGATAAGGATAAAATTATAACTGGGCTGGATCGGTTATATTATGATAATTATCCTTAAAAATAATTATTCCAAATATATTTTATTAGGAATAATTATCAGTTTATTTAACCATCTAGGTTAGGCTAATTAAATAATTAAAATGGACCAGACTTGGGCCAATTAAATAACTTAATTAAACATTAAGCCCATAATGGGTCAATTTGTTAAAACCAAAGCCCACTAAATTTTTAGTGTCTACAAATTGCCTCCACTTCAAGTCCCAGGTTTGACAGGACTTGGTCTCCTTTTTCAAGTGGGACTTAAAGTATCCAACTTTTTTTTTTTTTTTTTTCCTCTCCTCTCTAACTTTGGATGGTAAGATTTTCTCTTTTCCTTTTCTATCCAACTTTGGTTGGAATTTTACTCTCATATTTGAATTAAATTATACAAATCCAAATACAAATAGGAGGTATTTTGTTGCCTATATATACCCCCAATAGTATAGGGTTTGACATCAATTCCAATATTCTTTGAAGACTTGTCAGATCACAACTTCTGAAGACGGTGTTGGATTGCAGCCTCTGCTTAAACGAATAATTGGTATGACTTTTCATTTTTTTTTTTTTTCACCCATTTTTTCCACGCTAGAAATTTTTCATCACCTATGTTTTTCACGCTAGAAAATTTTCATGAATTTTTTTTTTTTTTTTCACGCCTTTTTTTCTTTCATTTTAATTTTTTTTTTCCTCTCTTTTTTTTTGCACGAATTTTTTTTCAGCCTTCCTTTTTTCCTTTTATTATTTTTTTTTCAGTGGTGCTAGTCAACCATGGTATTTTTCAAGAGTTTCAAGCCCCATACTATCATCGTTTTGGAGCGAGAACAGACATTAAGATGTCATGCCACCAGAACAGACAGTGTCGTCAGTAGCCACAAATCGACTTGGAGCGCAGCGAGATATGTAGACCCAGGGAGGCTTTACCAACAACTCAGACAATATTATCAACACCTATTGCCATAACGTCTTTATCAGCCATGGATCATCTTGCAGCCATTAATAGAGCAAAAATAGACTCCGAGAGGTTATGCCACCAGCACAGGCAATGTCGTCAGCAGCCATGAATCAGCTTAGAGAGTAACGACAGATGTAGATGGAGAGAGGTTTTACCACTAGCTCAGACAACATTGTTAACACCCGCCACCAGAGCGTCTTCATCAGCCATAGATCATCTAGTAGCCATTGACAGAGCGACACCAGACTTCGAGAGGTCATGCCACCAGCACAGGCAGTGTCGTCAGCAGCCATGAATCAGCCCAGAGAGCAACGACAGATGTAAATGGAGAAAGGTTTTACCACTAGCTCATACAAAGTTGTCAACACCCGTCGCCAGAGCGCCTTCATCAGCCATGGATCATCCAGCAGCCATTGATAGAGCGAGACCAGACTCCGAAAGGTCATACCACCAGCACAGGCAGTGTCGTCAGTAGCCATGAATCAATCCAGAGAGCAATGATAGATGCAGTTTTCATTAGCCACGTATCAGATATCAACTATTCAGAGAGTAAGAACAAACTCCAAGAAGTCATACCACCAGCATTGTTAGCCATCGCTAGAATGTTTTCATCAGCCATGGATCATCCAGCAGCCATTGATAGAGTGAGACCATACTCTGAGAGGTCATACAACCAGCATTGTTAGCCATCACCAGAACGTCTTCATCAGCCATTGATAGAGCAAGACCATACTCCGAGAGGTCATGTGACCAGCACAGAAAGTGTCGTCAACAGCCATGAATCAATCCAAAGATCAGACATCAACCATTCAGAGAGTAAGAACAAACTCCAAGAGGTCATACCACTAGCATTATTAGCCATCACTAGAGTGTTTTCCTCAGCCATGGATCATCCAGCAGCCATTGATAAAGTGAGACCATACTCCGAAAGGTCATGCGACCAGCACAGACAGTGTCGTCAACAGCTATGAATCAATTCAAAGAGCAACAACAGATGTAGTCTTCATTAGCCACAGATCAGACATCAACCATTCAGAGAGTAAGCACAAACTCCAAGAGGTCATACCACTAGCATTGTTAGCCATCACCAGAGCGTCTTCATCAGCCATGGATCATCCAGCAGCCATTGATAGAGTGAGACCATACTCCGAGAGGTTATACCACCAACATCATTAGCCATTATCAGTTTTGATGATGATTTCAAGCTGAAGCTCCACCAAAAGATCTGACTCAGTGTCCAAGTTTACTTATGCATTAGACACCAGTAGCCACTTGACATGAAGTTACCAAGTTACGTAAGTGTGCTTGTGCATATCTGTCTCAAAGATAGAGCTCTGTTGCAAATGGTGTAAGGATGTGATAGACAAAGCTTGCATGCCTATGCCTCCGTGTGGGGATTTGTTTTTACTTCAGCAATATCTTGGTGACGCCGTGAATTTTCCTTGACGCAATACCTCAATAGAACACCAAATTTCTTTTTCAGCAACACCTCGGCGGCAAGCAAATTTTTTTTAGCGACACCTCGACGATGAGTAAAAATTTTGTTGCAGCAACACTTTGGCGATGAACTAAATTCTTCAGCGACGCCTTGTCGGCAAGTCAATTTTATTTATTTTTTCTAGCCTTACCTCAATGACGAACAATTTTTTTTTTTCCTTTAACGATAGCTTAACGAAAATCTTTTCCAGCAATACCTCGGCAGTGAGCAGAATTTTTCTTGGCACTTACAGTCTGGCGACGAACCAATTTATTTCTTCGCAACTACACTTTGCTGAATCAAAATTTCCTTTGTAGCTACAATTATGGCCACGGATCAAAATTCTTCTTTGCAGCTACATTTTGGCGGTGGGCCAAATTTCTTCCTTGCAGTTACAATTTGGCGATAGACCAAAATTTTCTTTGCAACTACACTTTGGTGGCATGCTAAGTTGACAGGTGCGACGAGCACTTTTGATATCACATGATGTAATACCCCTAATTTTACAAAGGATAGTCCTGGAATTTTCATTAATTATTAATTGCAATTTTTAAATGATTAATTGTTTAATTGCTTTGATGGTTGTTACTTTATGTACTTATTTTAATTATTGATTTGGTTGTCGTTAATTTGTTTATTTGCGTTACTATTTCACTTATTAATTTAATTGTATTAATTATTTAATTGTTATTTAATTATTTTGTGGTACTTTGTTGTTTTAATTATTGCTTCAATGTTATGTTTTAATTATCTTTAATCAGTTTTATCGTGACTGTAGGATTGGTTGTATATAAGTTAGCCGACATTGAATTTAACGTAGTTTTCTATGGGCCGACTAATTTCAATTAGGGTTTAAGGGAGCCTAGGATTAGTCGGGCCTATAAAATTCACCTAAGTTGTTTACCTAGGGTTTTTAGAATAAACTTACGACATTGTAAGGTTGAGAGAAGTTTTGGAGACGGTTGGGAAAGAACAAAGAGCAAACGGAGGATTCGTCGGAAATTTGAGACGAACGTCGGTGTAAGGCAAGTTCTATCTTAACTCTCTCCCTTAGGCTTCGTGTTCTTTGCATACGTAAATAGTTCCAGGAATGAGTTACATGTTTTAAAACAAAAACGTTATCTGTTTACATCTTTAAAATTTAAATTGTAGCAGTGCGTGTTATACTTGTTTAACTGGTTAAATTGTAAACTTTCTTGCATTGTTTTCTATTTGAATCCCTATTAGTAATTGTAATAAGGATTGAAATAAAGGTTGGAATCTACTGGGACTAAGTTAAAATCTCTGGGAACCTAAACTGTGAAGTGCCGGAGGTGTAGACGACGACTGAAGAAGAAAACGAGGCAGAGGAGGGAGAGAGCTGGCTCCTCTTTGGATTGGAGCCGGCTCTTCTTGGTTTGGAGGCGGCTCCATGTTTTTGGAGCCTGCTCCATTTTTGTTTTTCTCAGTTTTCTGCGTTCTGTTGGTTTTCTTTGGTTTTCAGTGAGACAGGTGCTTGGTTATGGAATTTCTAAGTGTTCTAAGAGAATTAAACACTGTAATGGATGGTTTAACAGTGGTCTGGAGTGGGATTAAAGTTCCAAAGGATTGAATAATACAGATTTAAATACCGAGTTTTAATCGTTAAAACTGCATGGATTTTCTTATGTGCTTTACAGACCTGTTTATTTTCGGGCATTTATATTTCTTAATTATAATAAGAATTTCTGTGAGAGCTTGTCCATTGCTAATTATGTATTCGTGGAATTGAAATACATGCTAAAAATCTATAGTTTACTAAAGATTAATTGATGGTCAAATTGTAAAATTTAATGCATCATTTTGTTGAACAGGAGGTTAAAGGTATGATAAATTGCCTAAATTTATTATACAGGTTAAGGAACTAAGTAACCTAATATTTATTTAGGCTCTTTTAATTATGAATACTAGGAAGTAAATTTATATTTACAAACACAGCTTCACGGGGTCAAGTATTAGTTCCTGTGATGTGTTTCTATAAGATGGTTTCTATGTAACGGTGTTATATAAGCATGTAAATATTATATTTATTATGTTCTCATGCTTATCATGGAATGGTTGAAATTGATATTTATGTTGTCAATGCTCCATCAACTGCTGGATTTATTTAAGCATATGTGATAATGTATTCTAAAATGCTTAGTATGGAATTGTTGATATCGTTATTTAACTGTCAATGCCTTATCAACTGTTCAATGGATAGAATTGTATGCACCGGTATGGGACGGTGTCATACTAGGTTTGGAATAGCACAAGTTGCTAAAGTCCTACCTATTTTGGAATAAGGGTACGGGTTCTTAAAGAAAATCGTCCTTATATATATGAGTCAAAGCGGTTGAATACGCCATACGACTTACAGGATTTCTTGTGGATGGTTAGAAACGGAATTTAAATATATTTTTTATGTTATCGTAACATGAGCTTGAGTCTCAGAGTCGACGGTTAGGGGGCGTATATGCAGTTGGATGTGTAGCTGGCTGTGAGGGTTGAGGAATACCCTTTTTAGGTTTAGGTACTCATGCCTACTCAGGTGCGTTTTGCGTGATGCCTTCTATTCAGGTTGAGACCCTCTTCATAGTCTAGCGAGAGTCCAGTAGTGTGGATATATTTATGTACGAATTATTAGATATTGTTAAACTATTTAGTATGTACATGCGTATCGAGTCTCTGCTTGGATTGTAATAGGATAGAACTTGTTCGTGGGTTTGATCCACTCCTATTTTTCAGGTGTACGCCAGTTCCAGGCTTGAACTTATGCGTGCTGAGCAGAGACGATCTTCCACTCTACCGATGATGTAGGACTTCTTTCCAGATAATAGTTTTGGATTTTTTCTTCAGCTTTACTTTCATTTCAGTTTGGGATTTTTATTAGGGGTCCACTGGAGATGGATTCCCGAGTTGTTTAACTTATGGAGGTTTTGGATTTTTGGGATTTAAGTATATTTAATATTAAAGGATTTTATATTTTAGTTTCTTTCAGCGCTTAAAATTTTAATTCTTATTTCATTTTGTAATCTGTGTTCGTTATAAATATTAATTGTTCGATATCCCTCGGGTTTAGGCCGGGCCTGATTAACCTGTGTCTCGGATCCGAGGGGTATTACGGTATCAGAGCACTCCAGGTTCAAGTGTCTTTAGGATGTTTCATATTAAGTCTTCCGCGTAGCGTTTCCTTTTAATTAGAGCTTAAGTTAGGATTCATTGTATTCCTTACGGTTTGTATAGAAATGGTACTGATATCTGTCTTTTCGTGTTAACAGATGGTTAACGCTAGAAACGGACAGAACATGCAAGGAACTAGGAAGAAAGGAGAGCGGCACGTAGGCAACAATATCTCCTATGGCGTCAGCAAATGGAGGAAGAACAGAAAAGGCTTGGATTTCAGGATGACATGGGTCAGTTTCAGGAGGAACAGGAGAATGTTCAGCAGACTCTGGACCAGGTCAAGGATCCAGAGATTCCTCCTCACCTTAATGACCTCGTTGCTCAGGCTATAGAAGTTGGGGTAACAGCTGCACTTCAGAATTAGCCTCAGGTACAGCCGGCACTGTTACCAGCACCGGTTGTTCAGACTGATACTTGGGAGAATAATAGGAGTTCTTTCACAAAGGGGAGCCCACCTGAGTTCACAGGCTCCACCGATGCGAGAGCAACTCACCAGTGGAAATAGGACATCGAACGACATCTTCACTTGGTTCAGTACACGGAGGTTCAGAAACAGATGCTTGTTACTTTCAAGCTAGTTGGGGATGCACTACAGTGGTGAGAGTTAGTTACTACCATAGAGGAGAGGATGACATTAACTTACGATCAGTTCAGTGCACGCTTTGATGAAAAGTACTTTCCTTATGCAGTCAGGGAAGCTATGAAGACTGAGTTTCTAAATCTACAGTAGGGGAATATGACAGTGGAAGAGTATGAGCAGCAGTTCACACGCTTGTCTCTCTTTGCACCGGAGGAGGTGGATACAGAAGAGAAGAAGTGCAACAATTTCATCAAGGGACTGATGTGGTCTATCAAAAGAGCTATTACAGGTAGTCCAGCTTATACTACCTATGCTCAGGTGGTAGATGCTGCTCTACAGCAGTATCAGTTGACCGTGGACATCAGACAGGCCAAGGGTGAGAAGCGGGGTGACAGAGACTCTACTGACCAGTCAGCTGAGAAAGGGAATGGGAACGGACACCTACAGAATGACAAGGGCAGATTCCCGGGACAG